TTTGTAGATAGTTGACCAGAAAACCTGCACTAACCAGTATCATTCTCAGCTCTTTTTTTGTGCTCTCCACTTTCATCTTTCCAAGGGAATGATCCTGCGCCTGTGACACTTGAATACAGCACAGTATATTCCCATATGGTGGTGGGAGGATTCCCTTTTCTGTTTCTGCCACCCAGCTCTCCTGTAGTGACCAGGCGATCCCGTAGGCTCCAGGCRATCCATGTCACTCCCAAGCAAGGTTGTGCCTACATATTTTTAAGGCAAGTTTTGGTGTTTTGAGGGAATGTGATTGCAAGYGCACAGGCACACGACACCTTGAAGATGGAGGCAATATTTCTGCTTAGGGTCCATCACCCTGGGCATCCAGCACCATGTGTTGCTTTGTAAGATACCTGAGCAAGCAGAACACACATTGACGTGCAGTCAGTTCATCAACACTTCAGGCTACTGAATATATTGGAAAAATACATTTAGGGTATATGGTTAGTCACTTGCTTAAACAAAATTTTGATTTAATAAAGAGATAGAGAGTCCTCGAATATRGTGCTGGACATTTTTCGAGAGATCGTTCAGCACTAACACTGGGATGGGTTTCAGTGTGTGTATCAGCCAGGACAGGTATTGATCTGCTCTTCTATTGAAGGTCCTTCTGCAGCTCYCTTGTCCTGTTTTGGTGTCATGCAGAACAGCAGCAGCTACATTCACACTTTCAGTGTGTCTCTGCKTATTCTTTTCCTGGTGATCATAAAGAACATTTTTTTCCATTACAACTTAGAACTGGCTTATACATTTTTTGGATACAATATAATTACGCCTTCTTTTACTCTGGGTTCTGGACCATGCAAATCTGTCCTCTGTAGCCTTTCCTCCTAAGACTTTTTTCCTGCTTCTGTTATCACTCAGAGGGTTCTTGCTAATTTTTGTCTACGTCTCTTCAATAGGCTCCAGAATTTGATAGCTAACTGCTGGCAGTGAATGCAGTAGACTATTTGCGTCTGGAGTCTTACACAGAACGTSTGAATGACACTTTCTGTTAATACAGTTTGTGGCACGATTGCCTTCTGATCCATGTCGTTGTGCCTGTGTCTAGCCCTGCAACTTCCYGTGAAAAAATGAACTTTCAGCATTGGATTTCACATTTTCTGTCCTGGAGCCATTTGCATCTCTTTGGCCTGAATTTCATCATGTCCATTTGAGATTCTCRCTCCAATTCATCAAGATACTTCTGATCTTACATCCCATCTTCCAGAGGGTTTGTTATCCCGCCCASATGGGTCTAACCTACATGCATTATACGCATATATGATTGTATATGACTTCATATCAGATCTGGAAAATAGTTACAAAGCCTTTTGGTTTTGCCTTGTTCCCAGCAGCGAGTGAAAACCATTCTTCTCTTGTGGCTATTTATGGCTCCGTAGAAGGCGAGCGGATGATTTCAAAGGAATAAATAACAACTACATTTACAACAGCTCCGTGCTCCTGTTCGAGGCGCGATTGCTCCATGCCCAGTGACCGGGAGCCCTCGTGGTGTGCGAAGGGGCCTGCGTGTGGGGCAGGCCCTGACAGGGCCCTGGGCAGCGCCTGCCCCACGACCTCAGGCCCCACGGCCAGGGGGCGCCGGGAAGCTTTCTGCCCCCCACTGTTGTCTGCGGCGGTTGCCTTTAGTCGATTTATTTTCCGTATTTAAAGCACTTGTGCTTGCCAAGATAATCATTCTCTCTTGGCAAGCGGGCTAGCAAAGGCCGTTAGAAACAAAGTGTAACCATAGAAGTTTTCCGTTTCTTTTCTTAAGAAAAATAGAAAATGCCCAAACTGTGTGTTTGAGAAGATTTAAACACAAAAAGAACGAATATTTTAGCGGATCTTTGAGATTTTGGGCAGGCATAGGGGGAAGGCAAAGGAGAGAGTAACAGAAATCTGCAATTCCCGTGCATGTTTTTCCAGGGCTCCTTATGTGGAGATAGCCCAAGTCCAGGGTTTGGGTTTGGGAACTCCAGCTGCGTGACCAGTAGAGGGAGCCCAGAATCACCAAATCTGGGCGWTTTGGACCGGGGAGCTGGGGTGAGAAGCTTGCTTTTGTAATAGGGAAAAGCTGTGATTCTGCTTGGAAGGAGGCGTTGAATAGTACCAATGTACAGAAATTCTGCTGAAGGGCACGTGCACAGCCCAGGGACACCCCATGCCTTTTAAATGATGAAACTGAATTACCAACTTTTATTTTGTAATGCTAATCTGAAATTATTTCTCTTTCCCATGTTGCTGGTTGTTGTGACTCCATATCATCAATATAGAAAGTAAGTAACTTTTAATTATTATTTTTTTAATCTTGTTGAAGGGATGCAGGGGTGGGTAAAGTGCTTGTGTGTGTGTATAYATATATATACATATCTATGCATATATATGTGCATGTATGTATGTGGAAGACATACCATGAGAAACGTATCAGTGTTAAGGATGTATTGCTGCGGACAACGATTCCCATGTATGACTTGCAGCTGCAGTTACGAAGGTGTGTTTTATTTTGCTCTTGTTATACCCAAGCCCAGTTTTAGGAAGGGAGGATATGATGCTTTGCTAACAGCCCAAGTTATTTAGGGATTGCTGATGTCTGTGTGCAGCAAGAATTACAGCAGGTAAAGTGCTTCTGGGCTTGGTAGCTGATAGGGATTTCGTTGCAAGTCGGAGAGTAGTTTCTGTTGTCCACTTGCCAGTTGGCTGCAGTTTGCAGATTAAGATATCTGCTGTGAGCCCGGTAGTGGTCATGGGATATTGCCAGATCCTGTATTTTGAGTTCATTCATCTTGTATCATTTTAATTGCTTAATGACATCTAAAAATGAGTGTGGAGTCCAGAATTTCTAGACAAGGATGAGAGAATGATGCAAATCATTGCGTAGATGCACAAATGGTTCTGTTTCATGTCCTTTCGTGCGCTGAGCTCGCCTTCTCTTGCAAAGTCAGCAAGTTCCTTCTGTCTTGCAGAAGAAGTCTTAGTCTGTGATAGGGTTTCATGAAAAAACACAAGAGCGTGAGATGCTAAATTGCTTCATGTTATGTATGTCACCATATGGAAGGAATTACACAACTAGAATTGCTCTGTTAAATGCCTTGTGCCTTCCACTGACAAACAGAAATACAACAAGGAGAATATATATAAAGAGAAGTGTACTCCTTATTCCAAAAATGTTTTAAGCAATTGTTAAATTCAACTTAAAAGAAATTTCTTAACGTCTTCTGTGCTCCTGCTAACAGTATCTTGTATTTCTACCATACTTAGTTTTGTATTCTGATATGGTATTATATCAAAACCAGATGTGGAATTAGTTTTATTTGCACGGAAAGAATAAACAACAAAAACTCCTCAGAAATTTCATCCTGAGTGATCGTATTTGGAATACTCATAAAATAGATTTCTGTTTGATTTGTTATGTGGTCAACAAGCTTCATTTTTTTCCAGTCTTTTTGATTTTGGATGAAGAATGAGTTCATAAGCTGAAAGTCAATATAGAAGTAGATATTGTAGTAATGTGATACATTAGGCGACCAATAGTGAATAAATTATATTGGACAGGATTTCCTGTCTTGAAGACGTTTTATAGCTGTTTAACTTTTACTGGAAGAACAATTATCACATTATCCATCTTGCCATTAAATTAGTGTATGTGCATTATAGAGCAAATTCTGTTGTAATGGAGCTCTCGAGCTCAGCAGAAAATGCCTTCTTATGGATCGTGACAATTTGGATCCAGTTTTATTTAAAGTAAAAATCAGACATGCAGTTTTCAAGGACTGCCTGTTGTSTTAGGAGAGGTGCCTAAACTATTACTCCTATATATATTTTAATACTGCGTAATAAGGAGCAGTAGTGACTGATGGACTTCTAAAGCCCTGATCCTGATTTGTAGCTGAAAATATGATTAATCCTGAAATTCTCAGTACAGAATTGAGAGCACAGGCTTTGTGCCCCTCAGCCACATCAGGAAATACCGCTTGGCTAAAGGGACCCATGCTCGAGGGCTGAACCGCGTGCGAGCAGAGGCAGAGCTTGAGGCTCAGTCCCCGAGGACACTCTGTACGTTAGTCACCAAAGGGCCCGGGGGGGAAGATGTGACCTATACAGCTATAAATGTTGCAGTTAAATTGTAGTTAAATGTCATCTTTAAATTAAATTCAAATGTGACAGTTTTGTGAATAACTCCACGCCATTTTTAAGATAAACTTTTCAGAATTCTTTAGGTTTATTTAAGATTTGCTGCTTTTTCTGCTGCATACGTGCATATTTCAGAGATCTGTGTACAAATACCATTTTGTTCTGTTGAGTCTCTTTTTAAATAGTCCCTTAACACAMATTCCACGACAGCATTACGTTTGATTATTTAAATACTACCTTGAATGGGTTAACCTCTTAATCTCTCATCTCTAAGTAGAAAGCATAGTAATTCACAGAAGGTATAAATGCAGGTATAGTAATGCAAGCTGGCCATGTTAGGAGGAGGTTTAGCTATATATATACACATATCACTCTTAATTTTAAATGTGTTCATCCCGGGCTCTTTATTATTCTTTTGTTGCCTTTCATCCTATGGGACGCAGCTGCCCTTGAATTTGGTACCGTTTTGATCATTCATGTGCAGCAGCCACATTGTCTGTAACATTTTAAAAATGAGGCTTCGCAGCRTTATTTGCGAAGTAATTTCACATAAATATTTGGACTTTGCTTCTCTCAGAATGTGGAGCTGGTTGCTGTACGAAGAAAAGCATAATTATAATTCACAGACTTTTAGCCTCGAGCCTAGGGGACAGATGCATATGATTAAGTTTGAAACTGGCCTGTTATTGTAATGTAGATGTTTTCAGGGTTGAGAGAATTAAAAAAAAAAAAAAAAGAAAAAGAAAAAGCCAGGCAAGTATGACTTAAAAAAAATAGACCGAGGGAATAGTTTTACAAGAGGCACTCAATCTTGGACTGCTTTATTTTTGCACAATTTTATTTTTCAGTGGAACCTCTCCATTAGCTTGCCTGAATGCAATGCTTCATACTAACACTCGTGTAGGTGATGGAACATTCTTCAAAATCCCTGGGAAGTCGGGACTCTACGCTCTCAAAGTAAGTTCTAATTTTAGGGTATAGAAAATACACAGAGCTATTAATCCACTTTATGAATGTCTCAATAGATATAAAGGTAAACAGATTAGATTCTTTGGAGAGGAAATGACCTGATAGTCCTCCTAACTGCTTTCAGATGTCTTATAAAAGGATTTATAATGAAAGTAAACATGGAGTGTTTTATCTTAGAAAGCGTATACATGTTTTTGAATATGGCATTTGGTATAAAACCCATGCTGTAGCTCAGCTGAAGTGCTGCTTTTTCAGACTTGTTAACAGARAGGCCTTTGTTTTATAAGCAGGGAGCACAAGAGGATCGCTGACTCTCTCATTAAGTAATTGTATTAATGTTTGATTTTTGCATGGTAGAAAACTATTTGCAAGTCTAATATAAATCGGCTTTTAATTTACAGATTGCGTTATTTTGGACGGGGAATATAATTGACTGAGAGAGCCTTGACTGCATGCTATTTCTTATCCCTCTTTTTTTTTTCTTTTTTTATGTGTATATGGTATTTTCTCATGAACGAAAATTGTTCTAAAAAAAAACATATATATRTAATATCAAACTAGAGTAGCTTCATAATAGGAATGGGGGAATGTGAAGCAGAAGTGAGAACTGATAAAGTGAGATTATATGTTTGGCAGTCTAAATGTAATCAATTAAAATTTTTGCTGTGGGGAGAAGGATCTTTTGAAATTCATGACGGACAAATTACATGTACGGGCTAGAAACAATAAAAACCTTATGCATTTGCCTGTTCCTTTTAACTACAAATTCTACCTTTGTGATTGAATTAATGGGTTGCAGGAGCTCCATTTTCTAATTTACTAAAACAAATGCTGTTGTTTTGCTTTAAATCTGGAGATATTCTTGGCACAAGTCCAGGTATTCACAATCACTCCCATGCTTGTGGGCTCCAGGTTGCTTCAGCTATTTGAATTCAGGAAACAGGCAAAGGCAAAGGGAAACATTAAAGGATCTGTGTTTTGCTGCAGCACTCTGGACATTCAGCTGGAAGTCTAGCATTTTTAACAGCCAAACAAACCTGTTTCTGTTATTAAAGAAAAAAAAAGGTGAAAGAATTTTCATTTTATTTGACAGTATTCAAATAAAGAGCGTATTATGACTTTGCAAAATAGCTTTGTTGTTTTTCATTTGCGAGTTGTCTTGCTTAAAGGTCTGTTTTAACATATTCCTCCAAAGTAATTAATTTACAAGTGTATTTTTTTTTATTCTGTTTTTTGAAATGTAAGCATGCAATACAATTCAATAATCTGTTTTTGGAGATGCACCAGGATCATGACTTTTTTTTTTTTTTCATTTTAAATTTCTTTTTCTTTTTCTTTTAACTGTAGAAGGAAGAATCAACATGCCCCAGTGATGGAACATTGGATTTAGGATGTGAATCCGAGTTAGATGGCACTGAAATGGCTGAGACAAACAATAATAATGGAGATGAAAATGGTGGTAGGTGTTATTTCAACATCAGAGGTTATACTGGGGYGGGGGGAGAAGAAGTATTATTTACCTAACATTTTCATGATGTGATTTCTAAATTGTGTAAGCAATGCTTTGCACTCAGTGAAAATATTTTTGAATTACTCCTTATCTGTTTGGGCCTTGCAGAGAAATCTGGCCCATCAAGTGTCCTTATTTGACTTAGCTTTGTAAAGTACTGATGTACTGATGCTGGGATTGTTTTGGCTAGATGGTGTTTTAGCTCCTGTTGTTCCAGGCCCCACAATTTACTAAGCGGCCTCGTCAGACTTCCAACTTGCAGAGGTTGAACAGATGTTAATAACAGCTCGCTGGTGTCAGTGGGAATAGTTGTGGGTCTGTGAGTACCGTTCTGGGCACAGAGCAGAGATCTCGATTTCTTTGTTTCAGGCACAGATTCTCCTGCTGCCCTGTCAGTATAAAGACATGCTGAGGTAGCAAAGCATCTGTATTCTTTTTCTCTGAAACAATGACAAAATGAAATATTTCAAGCAAATAACAAATGACAACCTTAGAAATCAGACATTTTCACTTTTGAGAGCTAATAATTGTACATAAAGAAAACACTGTTCTTAAACCCCCTAAAATGCCTTGCAAGTAATAGTGGTGATTATCATCATTATTATTATTCGGGATRTATTACTGTGCTATTTGTAAAGTGTGTGCTTTATACAACATCAAGCTTTCCAGGGCTGTGTGCTGCTGCAATAAACCTTTCGTTGGGCTGTTCTTCTATTGTGCCTGCCCTCGTGGAACCTGCCCCACTACTGGACTGCAGGCTACTGCTTTGGATCACTTTGTGCACTGAGAGAGGATGTCCTATTTATAACTAGGACATGGAAAGACCCAGTTCAGATCTGTGTTCTGCTACAGGCTTCCTTTTTGATCTTGAATGACTGGCTTAGCTTCTGTGCTATAGCTGTACAGGACTGATCTTGCTACTGCAGTGTTGCTCCCCAGCAGTGTTCAAAAATTATAGAATACTTAGTGATATTAATAACAGATTTACCTGTGATAAGGTGTTTTGAATCTAGTGGGGAAGCTTATGAAGTCCAAAGGAAATCGAAAAGTCATGAGCTATTAAATGGCTCTGCTTCTGCATTTATTTTGGTAGGTTATGAGTTTGAGTTAAACAGACTATGCACGTGCAGTGTTTTTATGCTTATGTAGTATATGCTCCATGTATGACTGATTTTATATATATATATATCTGTAGTTCTTCAGCAGTTACCCAAGAATTTGTTGGTGTGCACTAAGTCAGAGGAAGAATCCAGCAGTGAAAAGCAGTGCAAATGCACTTACAGATAGGAAAGGGGAAGCGGAAGTTACTAAATAAACAATAATCATAGCAAAAGCATGGCAATTACTTACAAATGGAAGGATGTTAATAAGGATGCTGAAGTGCCAGAAGTGTCTCATTGGTGGGGTTTGTTGTGAAGGAGGTTGCAGACTACTTTTTCACTTAACACTAATTAAAAAAATATTCCCACAGTTAAGGGATTATAAAAGGGCAGCTGCTAAAATTTAACATTTTTATATATTTGGGTTAGAGCATAATTTGCACTTAGATTCTTTTTAAAGTTGAGAGCATTTCCACATATCTTTAACAGGTCTTGGAAAACTGTCATGTTTATATAAATTAGAAATAGGATGTTTATATATATACATATACATATATATATAMAATACAATCAGTGTGTTTTAAAAGAGTACATAAGAATATTAAGTTTATATTACATATAAAGGCCAATGCTGATATAGAACTGAAGATGACATATCTTGTATCTACCATCTGACACAGAATATTGTTTTATCAAACATGTTTGATAATAACTTTTCTTGAAACTAACAGTTTGGTTGATACAGGTGTCTCTTGATGTATGTTTAGAATTCTGTATGGCATCTGATTTGCAGTGTATTAACGCTTACCTTAAAAATAGCACCATGCCCAGTCCATGCAGCCACTTTTAAGTGGATTTGAAGCTACAAACTCTTAGATCTGCAAAGGAGTAGGAATCATCATCCAAAGTAGGTATTTCTGCTGTTCTTGAGAGATGTGATTTGGCCCCTTTTCTTTCAGTATGTTTTTCAGTGCTTTTTGAAAAGTATAAAAATCCTTCCTGATTAAATGTGTCGATGAAGCAGTAAATAATAATGTTGAGACCTCTCTTGATTTCCCTGGTAAATGATTACATTTGGACAGCAAAAATTTAATTACAATTTAAAGTAAAGAAAATAGATCATATGTGCAGTGAAGATATATATTCAGTAAATCAGGAAATCTGAAAAGCACTTAAGSATCACAGTGGAAAGTGAATTGCACATGAATGAGATGCTTTCACTAATTAGTTCAGTGCAGTTCTTGGACTGTTACTCTGGTAATATTGATTTAGGAATATAAGCACAGTATTTCCTTTGGGTATAGCATTAATTAAATGATTGTGAGTGTATCGCCTTCATTAGAGCTATAAGAAAGAATTAAGAAAAACAGTTAAGGATTTAGAAAAGAGATATGAGATCTCCTAGGTGAACAGAGACTGTCCTTGTTCTGAGAAATGTAAGAGGTCCTTTCTAGTTTCCCAAGATGAGGAGATGACCTGACCAGCTCGTAAGTACTTAAGAAAAGATATTTCAATAGGAAATATTTGGTGTAGCTGACCAGATATATCCATAGTTCTTTTCTGGCTAATTTTCAGGTTAAAACTTTTTCCCACCCTCCAAGAAAGTATTGTCTAGCCTAAGGAACGTTCAGTGTAAAACTTCTCTGATCTGTGCCTTAGGARAGGTCAATAGTTTAGGTTGCTTCCTCTCAGCTTTGAAATCTATGATGCACATAAAGATGGCCATTGTTTGAATGCTGTATTCTTAATTGCTTCATTGATGAATTTTTATGTGGTAGACTCTWGAAGTTCCACTTCTGGTGGAAGAATTAAATGTCAAGAGAAATTGTTCAGCAAGGAACTAAAAGTGTTGCTTTTAAGTTAGCAGGAAGCAGAGGATGAGGCTGAAACAGAAGWAGTTCAGCAAGAGTCTCCCTGTCTGGGGGCTTCGGGTGAGAGCCTGCAGACCTCTGAGCAAAAAGTACCAGCTGCCATTCAAACAGAGAAGAATTACATTATTCACCAGCAGGCACAACTGAGCAATTTTTATTAGCAAATTAATATAGAAATTATCACAGTTATATATTCATATAATAATGTAAAAATTCCTCACAGTACATAAGTGTTGGCAAAATACAAGTCAAACAGTTGACTTTTTGAAAGCTGTTAACACTAGCATTACTAAACTGATAACTGGAATGCCCATACCTCAGGTTTTTGCAGATGCTGTTCAGAAATCTGTCTTTCCCCACCTTCTTCCCAAGCTATGTGTTAAAGAAACTCTTCATGTTACAGTTAGCCTTGTGCAGAACAGGATTTCAACAGGAACTCTGTGACAGTCTTTCATAAATTTTTATGAAATCCATTCCACTCAAAAACAGAAGTAGTATGTAAAGATGCAGATAGTAAGAAAAGTATTAAAATCCCAATTACTGTTGTCTGGGAAAATGATGACTATAAAGCCTTTTGTCCCTCAATAGAATATTCTGTTGTCCAAAACACCAGTCCCCAGGGTTTCTGAAACCGAGGTAATTCATCAGTCACAGAGAACAGTTGATTAAAAATTGTCTTCCCACTGCATGGCTATTCACTGCTATTCCCAAGTACAATGATCTAATTGTGGAGGAGGCAGCAACTCYCACTGCCGTGTGCCTTCCCTCCCCATCCCAAGCCAAACACAGGTCCTGAAGTTTGCCCAAATGTGAGGAATCTAATTTCCCCTTGAGACCTTGCGGTTCCCAGCACTTCCTAAACCTGGAAGTTCTTCAATTGCGAAAATGAGACGTCCAAATTCATTTCTCGTGCACTTTTCTTAGAGGTGGTAGACACAATGCTGCAGGATGGAGGGTGAGAGTCCTGCTGAATCCTGAAATGTTGCCTTTGTAACTGCTGTGCTTTTGAACACCTTGGGCTTTTTGCACTAAGAAGCTACTCAGCTAAGCCCTGTAGGGAGGAATGAATATTCACCATTGCTTGAAAGCTGAACCACATTTAAATATCCACTTCCTTGGCACGAATGGAATTTCTGGCAATTCGGGGAAACCTGTCGTTGTTAGCACACTGTTTCTTGGGAAAGGAAGTAGATGATTCCGCTGAATATGTCAGGTGTAGATGGCAACATCAGTATGCATGATAGGGTCTTTGTAAGCAAAAGCAGCTGCTAAAGGAAGAGTTGTGAGAATGTACTGAGTCCGGGCTGACACGAGAGATTCAGTTTCTCATTTCTTTCTTTTTTTCTTTCATCTMCCCACAAATATCTATAAAAAATATCTGGGGTTCAGTTTAACTTACATACGTCTCACTGCATGAAGAGGAGTCATAAGAATGAGCAGATACTGTGGAKCTTCAGGGAGAGATCCTTCTCATTTGCTGTGTAATAGAGTTAATAGGGCCTAAGGAATTAATGGCTTAGTGATGACAGACTATGTTTTTTTGTAGAAAACGTTGACTTCTTTTGGCTTAAAGATTCAGTTTTCAGGGATTCACCAAATGTTTGGGCTTAAAAGTAGACAGACTGTAATGTGATTCAACGTGAGTTACCATCCTGATGATGTATTTGTGCTGTCTTTTTCCCCAAAATACAATTGAATATTACTCATCATTTCAAAATGCCAGTATTTGCTTTCAAAAGAATGTCACAGTTACAATGTTGCCCTTGATATAGGTATTTGGTTTTGCCTAATTGGTGAACCTGTACAATTACCTGCCTTCCAGGTAGGTTATTGGTTTTGAAAACTGATGGCCACAGTCGCGCTCTGAATTGATCAGAATTTGCAAGTTGGGCTCTAGAGATCAAAGAACGATTTAAGCAAATTACCTGATACATCTGTATTGGCAAACGGTGACCATCCATGTCAATACAAGTATAGATTGGTGTCACCCAGAGAAAATACTGATTTTTATAGATGTTTTAGAGGGCTTTTATGTGCATATTTTCCTAGGGCGGTTCTCTGTGTAGTTTCATACCTGAAGTGTGCACGTGTTTGATGGTTGAGCTAGACTATAGTCTTTCACATATGGTAACAATATTAATTTGAGTTTTGTAATGTGGCCAYTGGTAAGCAACCCTTCGCTTCTGCTGTGGTTTCTGTAACAAAGCAGGAAGAGAAGTGCTGTTGATTTTACTGGTTTGATTTTAAATCAGTATGGTCTGGCTGAAATGAATTAATTGTGTTGTTATTYATTTGGGGAAAATAATCCCCTTGGAACACTCCAGGAGCATTTCTGTCTATCAAGTTACATAAATCTGTTTATTCCTAATAACTTTCAGTGGCAATGAGACAGAGTAATCTTAAGTTGTGTTCCTGTAAAAATTATTTCTTTGAAGAAACATATGTTGTAATATATTTTGTGTGGGTAGCATAATTTCATTTTGGGGAGGTTATGTAAAAACTCACATAAAATTTGTGCGATATCCTATAAAATTCCAAGTTAAAGGACACCTTTGTGGACTTCTAGAAAGCATTGGTTTCTGCCAAAATTACCAATACTGGAAAAATAAGTCTTGGAAAAAAGACTTGGAAAAATAGACAAGAGAAGTTCTTTTTTTGTTCTTTTCTTTTGTGTGTGTGTGTGATTTATTTGTTTGTTTTTAGGGAGGTTGGCAAAGACATTTTTAACAAGCAGCTTTTACACTCTGTAAAAACTCGCTAAGGAGTCTTATCTTCAGCAACCCAGCTGCTCTTCTAGCTCCTAACCTAGCGCTTGATGGTTTAATAGTTGCCTTTTACTTTATACCTACACTGAGTCTTGGCCCTTGGCAGAGCTGATTTAAAACATGGTTCTAGTTGTCCTCCACAAAATGGAATTGCTCCCTGTCAGCTGCATATTGCCYTTGTTTCCTTTTTCTACCATGACAAGAATGGAGAATCCTCTTATTTGTGACTCAAATATTTTTCCTTAATCTGTTGCATTCTTTCTGGATTCTTCTTTTCCTCCCCAGCATTCAGTTTACTTTTTCACAGTCTTTTCTCATTAATTTTTTTTCTAGAGGAGAAGAATCTGATAATATTCATGCATCTTCACTGCTCATGGATAAAGTGGTTCCAGCTTTCCAAAGCTGTGTATATGTATCACGACCATTAGCTCTACTTAAATTTGTTTTTCAATTGCTTATCCCTTTGTTTCTCGCAGTAGAATGAAAAACATTATAAAGTCCTTTTTTTCTTTTTTAAGGGGATCGTCAATGTTCCCTTCAAATACTGATACATTTTTCTGTTATATTTTTCCCTTATTCYATTTCTGCCATGTTCACTGAAAACCAGTTGTACTCTATCCATATAAATGAATGAATAAATAAATAAAATGTTCTATAGTCACAATCACTATAAAATAGTGAGAGTTTAAGAGACTGATTTGAATAACTAAGTAAAAAAAATTCTTTAAGACATAAATTCATTGTTTTGAATTTGTATTTAATTTCATAAAGAAATGTTTATTCATATTGTTTTGTAAATAATAAACATTTTTATTTGTCACTAAATAAGGCCTACAATTTGGTTAGTACTTTTTGTTAACAAGAGAATAGCCTATTTATGCTCTTAAGCTATTACAAAAATTAGCATAATGTATTCAGATTTTAAATGTTTATAGCCAGTATTGTTGAACAACAGTTACTGGTATATCATATTTATTAGATGGTTAGGTTCATACTTGAGATTAAAATAGAAATTTAATTGAAACATGGAAATACCAGTGTTTAAAGTAGCTTCTCACTATTCTAAGCTACAAGTTATATGAAGAAATATATTTATTATGAATAAAATATTTTCTTAAGGAATTATTACTTATAGTGAATAAATGAAATGAGCCTCTAACCACTACATCCTTTATAATTTTTAAGCAGTAGATTTCAGTCTCATRGTGCCATTTCTTTAATCATAGACTGCAGGAAGGGCAAGATTTTTTGTCCTGCAGCTGCCATTTTCTTTTAAACCTCCAGAGAAACTTATTTTTGAGTGGCACTAAACTGAACTAGTTTGCAGTGAGTTTCTCCTTCTGTAGTTGCAGAAGAGATTACATCATGGAAAGCTACATTATTACTTCAGCAGAGTTTAGTTCCAGTAAATTCACCAATTAGGGTGATGCCAGAATGGCCTGGAATATGTCATAACTTCACTTTTAAATTTAAGAGGTTATTATTGAACTAAAAATGAATGCAAGCACAAAATTAATGTAGAATTATCTTTATTCCTGATACTTGGCAGTATTGAGCACTGCCAATTGGTGTAGCCAACCTCTATGACAAACTTTAGCACCAAAGGGAATAGGGGAGCCTTTGGGGTGATGTCTTAAAACACAGCCATGAAAATCAGAACTGCCYGTTTGAGTAAGAAGGCAGTAGGAGTCTCTTTTCCACCCTGGAAAGCAGAAATAAATTTTCTATAACAGGTTGTGTTTTAGCTTCTCTTGGGAAGGACAGACRACTGTGTACTCGTTCGCACTACAGAATCACAGAATGGTTAAGGTTGGAAGGGACCTCTGGAGATCATAGGTCGTAGATCGTCCTTCAGCCAGTTCTACATGTGTTCTGTTCGCTTTGACCTTTACCTGCACACAGTAGTTCTGCTTCAGTTTTTTAACTCTCAGACTTTGCTAGAAAACATAGTAAAAACAGATAAACAAACAAACTCTCTTTAAAAGAAGAGACAAAACAGAAGCTGGGTAATTTACCATGACAGGTTTTTATTTTGGTGTAGGTTTTTCAATCACTCAGCTCAGCTCAGCTCAGCTGTTGCAGAGATTTAGAATAGATAAAATTGTTTGTTTTCTGCTGACACTCTGCTGCACCTGTATTTTTTGTCTTTTTGCCTGTCTTTTTTGATAGTGAGTTTTGTTCATCAGGTGGAAAAGACTGTTCCAAACCAGGTAGCAAAGAACCTCCTCAAATATCAAGCACTAAAGTAGCTAATATTGTTTATAAATCTTGTGACATGACTGATTTTGTCTTATCTACTGATGAAAAATCTTCATCTAATATGAAAACTACGTTGACACAGTGCCAATGTCATAAAAAAGTATATTCTATGAGGTAGGTATTCGTGAATTATCCTTGCAATAAAGAAACAAATATTTAGTATGTTATCATGTGCATCCTATGGAGGCCTTTAATTATTGACAGTTAAATTGTCTCACAACTACAAAGAAGAAACCATTAAAATATTTATGGTAGTTGTGAGACATTGCTGAAAACAGAAGAATATAGAATGCGACCTCAGGTGTCTGCTCATCCGATTGAAGGATGGGAGGAGAAAAACAGGCAAACAGAAACGAAGAGCTGAGATTATGCCTGGCACGTGTCTGTGCAACTCGCTTTGAGGTTCTTCGGAGTGCTTTGAGGCAGGTGTGTTAACTGTGGCAAATCTTGGAAAACCACGTACAGTTGCATGGCATTGTAGGGAAAGTATGTCAACATGCAAAGCAGCTTGGAGCCGCGTGCTGGAAGACAGGCTTGATTGCATCAGCAGAGGAGAATGGGAGAAAACTGCACAATTTTGGGATCTATGTTAACGCTGTTTTATCTTGGCTCTTTTAAACCGCTGGTAAGAATAATAGTCATGAAAGGCTTTAAGGGTGGAAAGGATTTTTTACCATCTTTTTAGAGTGTTTTCAGTGAAATTTACTGACTACCAAGATTAATAGCATCCTGTAGCTATAGTTTTCGTATCTATTAAACAAAGCTGGGGTTTTAAAATCAATTAATCATATTTCCTTTTATTTTTCACCAAGAGACTTTTTCTGTGGCTCAGATAGCATTTATTCAATAAGCTGTTTAAAGCAAGTACTGCAGTATTTATTCATTAAAACATGTATTATTAAAAAGGCTGACAAATAGCAGTGTGTATTGCCTGAGAGACCAGGATTCCTCTTTGCAGGCTATTCCAGTCCACCAGTTAAACAGGAGAGTGTGTGTTCTTAGTTTTACCAAGAAGTGCTTATAAAATAGATTAGTCTGGCTCCAAAGAAGCCATTACAATTTGTTATGAAGTTACATATTTATAAATATTTGTACAACACAGGTCATCAGCGTCTCTTGTATAACTGCACCTTTAGAGACACAGTAATGCATTAAATATGTCTTGGGGAGGAAGATAATTTTTATCTAGCATCTGTGGGAAAACCACACATAAACTATTTCAGTTACCTTGCAGGACCTGAACGGCAAAATATGCAGGGCCTCCAGAACTGCACAGAAAGGGTATGATGAGGTATAAATATTCGTGAAGCAAAGCATTTATGTAGAACATAGCCAGATTCTCAGTTCACTTGGACCTCAGGATTAGCTGAATTTTGTAGCTAGCTGCTTTTGGTTTTCCAGGTGCTAGCTTTTTTTTTTTTCATTCTTCAGGACTGTCCGAGATGCGTAGGAAAGATAACCCCATAACTGTCTTTTTTTTGTTTTTCTTTTTATAAAGTTTGCCCAAAGCAGACATCTGAAGAAATGTCTTCCAATCGTGATTCAAGCCTTACTAATGCACCCGTGCAAAGCAAGCTAGTATCTTCCTTCCAGCAGCAYACAAAGAAAGCACTTAAACAGGTAAGCTGCTATTGCCTGTGACCGAGTTGGCTTTTTCCCTGCCTCAGTATTACATGAACGAGAAATCAGCAGGATTTCAAGGTGTTTCTGAGGGGATTTTAACACTTTGTCTAGCTGTATATTGGTGAGGGAAAGAGGGGGCTGGTGCTGTGGTCCTGCCATTTGCAGAATTTTTGAGGGTTTTTTTTTTTT